TGACATGTGACCAACCTATAGATGCTATAACAGATGATGATAGGTTTGTTCGTTTGAAGTTAAGCACAAAGCTACACAATGGGCTATCTATGCTCTGCCCACCACGGGTCTCGAAACCCGGTTTCTAGTGTTGTAAGTCTGCAGACTTACCACTATGCCATTGGGGGGCAGAAAATCATAGGAGATTAAGGATGAAGCAAAGTAGGTGTACATCTTTAAGGTAAGGTTTGCAGTTGGTAATGGAACCACAATCCATTAAAGTAGCAAATAAACAACTAAAATGACCATCTCAAAGTACTGATAAATTAACTCCCCCACTCTGATAACAGTCTAGAAGAACTGAAATAATTAATCAGTTAGTTATACAAACTGGAGGAAACAGACCACAACAAAATAGGTATTTGCAAGAAGCTGTAGATTAAAGCTTGTTTGGAATAAGAACTAGTTTTAGAGAATAGTAGAAAGAAGGAACTGTTATAATTGTAGGAAATATGATCATTACAGCCATGATTACGGAATCAACAGCTGTTATTAAACTAACAAGACAATACTTTGAGGATAAGGCTCAGAGCCCAGACAGATCATAGGAGCAACAAAGAGCTAACCAGATATCCAAAAGAGATCGGCCAACTGGGTAACTCTGGAGAACTTGTTTGTGGAAACTTGACCTGCTGAATGAAAAGCCCAGAGTTCCCATAAAGACCATTTCCAGAAGATCATCAAGGATGGAACTGTCAGTGGATTCCAGACCTGCCAACATCAAATTTTAAAAAATAGTAATCCCTACAGGGGAAGAGAAAAATAGCAAGAAATGTAAATGTAAATGAGTTGCTACCAATTATGTTTTATTTAATACTTACAAATTACAGTGTGCTACTGATCAAAAGCCTTGCTGGTCATCTTTTCAGAGGTTTTGGTTCTACAGAATCCGTATCTTTTAGCGATTTCCGTATTTGGAAACATTTTTGAAGCATAGTCTCTGAAACCACCAAAAGATTCTGCTCTGATTACATCATTTTCTGATTTGGTATCAGGTTTTACTAAAAAAATTAGTCCAGTTTATTAACTCCAGATTTCCTAATACAATTTTGCTGGTGTTTAGTAGTGTTGAGATGTTTTTTGATATCATTTTCAACTCTATGAGCAATGGAAAAATTACAAAAGTAAATTGTACGTCTTACATACCCTTTGAGGATGATACAATATCATGGAACTTTTTTGAATACTCATGCCCAAACTTCTGCTCATTATTAACTTTTCTTTTCTTTGTTGAAGTCATTGAGGACAAAGCAGAACCACATTTTTTCTGCCATTTTCCTCTTAAAAAATAATCAGCACATCCCAGATGCTTACTACTTACACATTTTTTTAAGCCTTTGTAAGATTGAGAAGCAAAGAGGAGAGTGGTGAATTACTCCCATAAAATTATTAGTAGGTTTGTTTGTTTGTTTTTGAATTTCATGCACAAAGCTACACGAGGGCTATCTGCGCTAGCCAATCCTAATTTAGCAGTGTAAAACTAGAGGGAAAGCAGCTAGTCATCACCAACCACCACCAACTTTTGTGCTACTCTTTTACCAACGAATAGTGGGATTGACCGTCACATTATAATGCCCCACAGCTGAAAGGGCGAGCATGTTTGATGTGACAGGGATTTGAACTCGTGTCCCTCAGATTGTGTGTCGAGTGCCCTAATCGAGTGCCGGGCCCATTAGTAGTATGAAAAAAAAGGTTGGAGAAAAAATTTCAGAATTTTGTATAAAATTGTAAAATAGCACAAATAAATAATAAAATAACAACAAGAGTCAGGATGCTATCCCAGAT